TGCTTTGTAGTTTCATTGTGTTCCCGGTCCTTGTAAGTAGAATTCATGAGCCTGGCAGATGTTTGAGGCGCCTTCCAAATGGTTTGCTTCCGGGCTTCCTTCTAGATCGTTCCGAAATGTCCTCATGGAAGTACGATTGAGCCTGGTAGATGTTGCGGGGAAGAACAGTGCAATGCTTTGAAGCCGCTGACAGCCTGGTGGTTTGGTTTGTCGGTTGCTCAGTTCGGCTGATTTTGGGCTGGCTCAGTGTTGTGAGGTTGTTGTGGGTTGGTATTAATGCAGGGGCCGGGGTGATTTTGGATCTGGGGCTGAAGAAACTTGTGGGTAGATTGCCAGGTTGTGTTGGACTCGGTTCAGAGCAATGCAGAAAACACAGCCGCAACTCACTGACGCTCCGATGCTACTTCATCAAACCCTTGAGCAACTGAACCAGCCGAAATCCGCTCTCAAATGCGCACCAAGCTAGGAGAAGCTGATTGTTTCGGGAGAGCGAAGAGAACGGTTGTCCAAATTAAGTGCAGCGAGAAGCCTTTATGAGGTGCCGAGTTGTAGGGTCAAGCACAGAGCTGCATTGTGAAGACATTTGGGGCAGCATAGCTGTAATTCTCCCATTCTTTTCAGGGATCCTTCTTTTCAGGAACTGAATCCAAGAAACTTGGGTGGTTGATGGACTTAGGCCAACCACGTAAAGGATTTCCACTATGCGGTTTCTAATCAAGATTCAGACCCATTTGGTATTTCCGGCCATTGCAACTTTGCACCACGATGCTAGGCTAGCGTTTGTCACACGCTAGTAAGAGTTGCACTGGCCAAACGCGAATGCAAGGATGGCTTTGGTTGGTTTCTTGGTTTCCCAGCTGCTTGCTTGGTCGCTTGGTCACTTGCTGGGTTGGTTGGCTGGTTTCTTGGTTGGTCGAGTGCTTGATCGTTTGGTCGCTTGCTTGGTCGGTCGGTCGGTCGGTCGGTCGGTTGGTTGGTTGGTTGGTTGGTTGGTTGGTTGGTTGCTTGGGTTACTTGGTTACTTGGTTGCTTGGTTGCTTGGTTGCTTGCTTGCTTTGCTTTGCTTTGCTTTGCTTTGCTTTGCATTGCTTTGCTTTGCTTTGCTTTGCTTTGCTTGCTTGCTTGCCTGCTTGCTTGCTTGCTTGCTTGCTTGCTTGCTTGCTTGCTTGCTTGCTTGCTTGCTTGCTTGCTTGCTTGCTTGCTTGCTAATCTTCGCTTTCTTTGTTGGGTGTTTGGTTGGTGGGTTGCTTGTTGTAGTAGCGTTGGTTGAAGTCAGCAAAATGTGGCGTGAGGTGCGAGTTCAGCTGAACCAGGAGGAGCTTCTGATTAGCTTGACAGCAGCTTTGATCGCAGAGCTGTGGCTCTCATGAATTTATTGTGCGCCGCTCAATCCCAAATTCTTAGGGAGAACATGTATGATGTAGGTTATTGTGTGTGGTTCTCTCCCAACACCGAATTCACTCACATGTTGCTCGTTGGCAACGGTCAATGCTGTTTCCATCGTCTACAGTAAAGAAGATGACATGGTGCACACTCGCCACATTTCTTCTTCGTTTGATGCATCTTTGTTAAGCTGTACTGTATCAGAGAATCCAACCCCTCGGAGTCCATCCTGACTAAGGGCTGTGGTGGCGACTGTGGTCATCTTTACATTGAACTTGACTTCTTGTAAGTGCAGAATGCTTCGCCCGACGTTCCGCAGCTGAAGCTGTCACATGTGTGGCCTTACAAATGATTCAGTATAAGGCGTTGCTACTCCTTGCAGTGCTGCTTTGCCTGGCCTGCGAAGTATCTCGGAAAGAAAAAACAACAAAAACAAACAAAAACACCAACATATTGGGTAGACACGGGGGGGGGTGTTGGGGGGATGGGTATTGCCCTGAATTTTGGCACGCGGGTCCTTGGGAAGGTTTGCCCAGCCAACGTGCACTCTCCTGCCCTTTTTCTCTTTTCGGGGGGGGGGGGGGGGAGGGGGGGAGCCAAATGGCTGGTTGCCAAAACCGTTCTGGTACCATTTTGGGGTAGGTGCACCACTCATTTTAGGCTTTATTTTAGTGGTTGGATTGGGCTCGCTGGGGGCACGGAATTTTGGATTTTGACCCATGGCCAACTCCCTGGGCGGTTGATGGCCTGAGGCATTGGTGCAGCCCCTCGGAGCTCGAGGATGCTATCTGAGTCACCCAGGCACGCCTCATGGGGGTCTGGGGGAGGGGGTAGGCTTGGGGTCATAGGTGTCCTTTTTGGTTGTTTTGCTAGAAAAATCGATGGCCCTGGTTTACCTGGTGGTTTAATCATCTACCAGGGGAACCCATCTATTTCCCCTAAAAGGACACCTATGGTTGGGGTTGACTCCCGGGATGTTGGAAACTCCGTCATGTACCAGGACGTATGGTTGGTTATCTTGCAACATTTGAGGAACCAGCCGTATCTGCTGCTTATCTCTAGGCGCTTATCCATGATCTGAGCAAATCCCAAGTCACAACCTCCCTGTGATTCCCTGTGCGCGAGTGAATATCATTGGTAGTCTACTGTATGGCCGGGGAGCAAATGGAAGCATCATGATTTGTGGCCGCAAGTGCTGCAGAGTGCACAGGACCAGTTTCGTGACATCGAAGTGCTGAAGGTAAAATGGCATCAATCTCGATGGTTGGGGTGTTTTGTTGGTGAGGGGTTGTAGAGTTCCTGAATATGGCACGGGACAATGCATGTATGTGCCAAGGCCACCCTGTTTCTCTTGCGGCTCACCATCTTAGCCACAAGTTTCTCTCTCTCTCTTCCTCTCACATACATACGAGGCATAAGTATGCTACATATTATAGACGTAATACATATACATACATGTATTTACATACACAATGTGTATGTATAAATATATGTGTATATATATATATACGTGAATAGGACAGAGGTAGATCCATTGGGGGGGGGGCTACCGTGTATATGCATATACATACACACTATCCACAGTATCCCATGCTTTGGCATCTGACACGCTGCCTGTTGCTGGCTGAAACATGTGGGACGCGAACTGGTGGGTTCGGTCACTGGTGTCAGGGTCCAGTACATTGAATACCTTTGGCCGGGCTTGTCCGCTTCAAGCCGCCAGGAGCTTATCTTGGAACTCACTTCAATGCACCCCTTCCTGCGTGGAGGCATTTGGTCAAAGTTGCAGCCTGCAGCATGCAACTTCTCGTACTTCTGCGACCCGTCAGCGTTAGCATGTAGCTTCTCAACAGAACCGATGTTCAAGTCCTTTGAACTGTGACCATGGACATTTTCGGAAGTTCTCAGCCAGAAAGAGACAACTCACAACCCATGAAGCAAACTCCTGTGAAGATTGTTGGCTCAGTTCAATGTTGGCTCATTGCCAGAGAAACTTGTGTCATTTTGTTTTTTTTTGGGCCATGTCTTGTCATTCCCCAGAGTGTTATCTCAGGAGTAGATTGCCTTTCGATATTATGAGGAGAGTGAGAGGCTTATGTAGCGATCGTCGTAGGATCTCATTCCAAAACCCTCCCCCCACTTTAAGCTTCACTACATATAGACAAGAATCAACCATAGTTTTTTTTGTGGGGGGGGGCCGGGGCAAACGCTGAGGTCAGAGTGTTTTTTTTGGGGTTGGCCACTTGTGCCGCGGCTTTTTCGCCTGGCTGTTCAACCTTCCGAGCCAGGCCTACATCCGGCAGTTGCCTGGGAGCGGGGCCACAGAGAGAGATGGAGAGAGAGGTGGGAGTGGTACCCGGTACCTCTCTTTCTTGGCTGGCGAAGGGGAAGCTAGAGGAGCCAGCCTTTTGCGGGGCTATGGTCACAACAGTGGTGGGTCAATCTCAGAATTGTGGAAAGCGCGTTTGGTCCTTTCAGCACCTCTTGAACAATTTTTTTGGGCCTTGAGGCCCTGCGGGGGGTCCTGAGCGTCTTTCCTTGGGCTGATTCACCTTTGATTATTTTCTTTTGGCCTTGACGCTATTTTTGGTGGTCTTGTGCTAGTTGGGGACACGGGGAGCCCACCCGATCTTTTTCGGGGCCGACCCAATTTTCCCATGCCCTTTGAGGGAACAAGTGGCTCATCTAGGCTGAGCCAAATGGCCAAGTGCGTTTTGTTGCTTTCGCGTAGGAAGGGGGACATTAGAGAGACGCGCAACTGCCTATCTACCTCCCTCCCAGTAACATGGCACCTAACAGAGGTTTTCTTGGAAGGGAGATTGATCTTCTAGGCCACAGATGCTGTGTGTGTGTGTGTGTTGGAGGAAGGGCCCTCTTTGGAAGTTTCTCGGGGGTCCAGTCTTTGATTGGACCGGGGTTGTCCTTTTAAAGACAAACATGTATGGTTTCCGGTCAAGAGTATCGGTCCCAAAACAGAACTCAGCAAAAGGACCCTTCGGACGGACTCCTGTTGGCCGCCCTCCTTGTTGCTTTGGGGTTGTAGCCCGAGCAATCAAGGGAAACAACACCCAAGTAAATGCCCCAGCTGATTCTTCATGGCGAAACCAAAGTCCAGGAACTGGGGTAGACCAACGAGGCCCCGTTTAAAGTGTTGTGACAGGGAATCAACCTCGGTACCGGTCATGAATAGGAATATGCCCTGAATAATTTGGCTACTTGCGTGTGGCTCAAAAGTAAGAGCTGCCCCTCACGCAGGTTTTGGCCTTTGTTTCCATGGATGCCAAACGAGGACTCAGCCACTTTTTTCGAGCAGGTTTGCTTGTATCGAGGTTTGCTCGATCGAAGATCAGGTCCTGGCCCGGTGTTTGGACATCCAAGACCAGGAGGTGGTGCTGGACCCGATGTGTGGCAAGGGGGCCGGGGGGCCGATGCTTGAGCCGCGCCCTCAAAACACCGCAATTTTGGTTTTTCACATCTTCACATCTTTTTTCTAAATGGCGTGGTGTTCGGGGAAGCCAGCTCCCAAATAGTCTTTCGAAGCCATTCAAATATTCCCATTGAGGAGGCACCCAGTCGGGCCGGGGGAACTAGTTGCGAGTTTCCGCTCTTTTGAGTCTTCAACAGAAGCTTTGGTTTTGACTGTGACTCTGGAGTAGCAGACCATCTCGCTCTCTTGCTGCGCTTCTCGACTGCTGCGTACCTTCAAACTCAGCAACAAATTTGCTTGCGGCTTCAATTGGGAGTGTGATGAGAACATGGTGGGGGTGTTCGTTGTGGGTGAAGGGCAACCAATGCGAAACCCCGGCATCATTTTGTGGGTGCCCTGTTTTCAAAGGGACACATCACCAGATATTTTGTGGTTCCACTTTCCATTCTCAGACACGGGTGGCGTGACTGGGGATGCATCCAAGCTTTTGAAAAGTGGCAAGATCTTTGCAGCTGGGTGAAACAGGGAGATGAAGTTTGTGCTAATGCCCCTCCAGTGCTTGAAGCCACGTTCCCCGGCGCCTTTCAATTCTGCCAATCTTATTTGCTCAATTTAGGAAGTTGCGTTGTTTCTTCCAACATTGAAACATACAAGCTGAGGGTCGAAAGGCACTGGCGTGCTTCCTTAGGGCAGAGTGGTCAGAATGAATTCTTGCAAGGGCACTGTGGTGGCATTGTACTTCACACATTCTGGCGGTGAGCCACACTTGTCTCTAGAAATAGGCCCACAGCGGCGAGGCGACGAGGCGGTGGGAAGGCTCTCTCTCCCTCCCTCTCTCCCTCCCTCTCTCCCTCTCTCTCTCTCTCTCTCTCTCTCTCTCTCTCTCTCTCTCTCTCTCTCTCTCCTCTCTCTCTCTCTCTCTCTCTCTCTCTCTCTCTCTCTCTCTCTCTCTCTCTCTGTCTTTCTCTTCCGCCGTTGGGTCGTGAAATCCCAAGAGCTGCGAGAGACAGGTGTGAGTGAACAATTTAGAGACGACTCATGGAGGAACTGACGGGTAATGAAGAGATGGGTCCACTCGCTTCTCTCCCTTGACCGTGTTAACGAGAACTTGTCCAAGAGCGAGTTAGGGAAGGGAGACATAGGTGAGTGAAACGGCGTGGATGCCTCTTGACTAATCCCTCCGGCTTCCATCTCAAGCTCTTGGAATCCTCACCACTGAACCTTCTGGGGAATTTCTGTTCTTTGGCGGGTTTGGGTTTTGGGGGTCAAATCGTGTCTGGCAGCACAAGCGGTAGGCGCAGGACCAGATGCTTCCGGCTTCAAGAGGGAATGGTTTGCCAAAAGGAATGGTTCCTGATTTTACTGAACTGCACCTGTAAACGGGCGAAACCTGGTTCCCTGAAATCTGGCTAGCTTGCTATCTACGTGTCTTAGACTAGAGACTGCGCCCATCCCCAAAAAGGGGCGAATCATGTTGACACACACAGATCCGTTAACATCATAATTTGAATGCAATATTAAGACTGTAAGGCTTTGTGGAAATTTATCACATCTCGAAAGATTGGACAGAAACTCACTGACTCACTGACTCACTGACTCACTGACTCACTGACTGACTGACTCACTGACTCACTGACTCACTGACTCACTGACTCACTGACTCACTGACTCACTGACTCACTGACTCACTGACTCACATGATGTGGGTGTGTCATTTTTAAGAGACCCGCCCCCAAAACAAAAATGGTGGCTTTCCTCTTGGTTTTCCCATTACCAACCAAAAAAGGATACCCCCAGAAAGACCCATGTTTCACACTGTTCCACACCTAAACACAAAAGCGCGTGATGCTTTCGCCCCTTTTGTTGTCTTTTTCTTCGGTGCTCCTGGTTTTGGCCGCCTGGATGGGAGCCAAAGTCACGACATGGCACCGCTCCGAGGTCCTGCTGTGCGAGGCCGCGATGAACTGGCCCAGAGCCGGCGGGGCGCCTGGGGTTTGGGGTTTGGAATTTGGGGTTTGGGGGGGTGGGGGCAGACACTTTTTTTTTGGGGGGGTTTGCCTTTTGGGTGTATCCTGTTGGGGTAGTTTGCACATCGGCCGAAAGTGGTCGTTGTTTCGACTGAGTGTTCTTTCGTGTTTACATGTCTTGGATAGATACCGCATGCTGTTACCCTCCTGGAGAAAGTCCAACCCTTTTGAAGGCTGTAGCAAAAGGCACTTGTTGGTTCAAACGAACAGGTGATCGACTTTTGTTGCTTCCTGACGAGGTCGATTCTGCTACTTCGGCTTTTGGATCTGACCATCACCTACTGGAACAAAGGACACATTTGACGTGATGAGTTTCCTTTTGGTTGGCGTTAACAGGGTGGGAATATTTCCTGGGCGCGACTGTTTGCAAAGACGTCGCCGATCGAATAAGAACAGTTAAGCAATGATGTGTTTCCCCCCCCCCCCCCTCCATTGTTTTTCTTGTTTTTCTTCTTCATTTATGTATTTTTATTTTGATTGGGATTCAAGATATTCGGTTTGCATACAGATTATGATTGGGGCTGCTGTTTGTCCACGCCAAATCTGTGTTTTACCTCTGTGCTCGTTCATGGGCCCCAACACAGACAGGTTGGGTCCAAAAACCGGCTTCCTCAGCGCTGCATGGTCAACCCTACTTGGACGAACTCCTGCACCACCAAAGAAACCTGGGAAGGATTGGATTCCCCTGAGAATACCAACCAACAATGGTTCCCATTTCCCATGGTTTCAAAGGTGCGAGCGGATTTTGTCCATCCACAGTCTTTTGCGGTCACTTGCAAGGCGCCTTTCTGGGCTGCGACCTGGACGTGGCCCAGCTGCGCAAGGCCAAGTGCGGCTTGTTGTGATACCAAGGGAATCTCCTAGGTGAAAAAGACTAAAAAAGTAGCCGATGTTCTGATAGTTTCTCAAGCGGAATCCTCTCCTAGTCATTCTTGGATCACCGTTTCACAAAGTCATTGGTTTACTCTTGAGAATAACAGAAACTTGGATATCAATCTCAGTGTATCACTACAGAGATTCCCTTGGTATCATGGAAAGTTCTTTCACGGATTTCGGCAGATTTTCCAGGCAGTGGACAACCTTCGCAGCGCCGCACGCTCAGTGCAGCTCTGCCGGGCAGATGCGGCGGTGAAGCTGCCACTGGCCGAGCAGCGCCGCGGCCAAATGCGGAAGGCTTTTGCGCGCTTGGGGTCGACCGGGAACTCCCAAACTCGTGTGGTGTGGTTGTTCTTTCTGTTTTTCTCACACCAACATGGAAAAGGCTACTGTGAAGTGTTTGCCAAACACATGGATTGCCGCTGACAGGGCGCTCGAGAGTTAAAATAACGGCTACGCCTGGTTGGACCTGTTGTTGGACTTCGCGAGCTACAGGTGACCAACTCTTTGTTGTTGGTAGCGTGAGCCGGAGTGGCTTCGCTCGGAGGAGGAGCTTTGATGCCAGAGGCTGACCACGCCAGAGGTGAACGTGGGCCGAGCTGACAACTATGTGCCCGTTTTCAATGCGGGGCTATAAGGAGTTCCGGAAGCGGTGCGAGATCTACAGGCAGAAGATGAGATTGGCAGGAGAAGCCGCCTATAACATCATCACGATGTTGACAGGCCGGGCTTGGGACTTGGTTGGAGGACCTCAACATCGAGAGCCTGGCGGAGACGAACGGCTTCGACCTGATCTTTGACAGGCTGGATGCTGGGTTCCGGTATGACCCTTTGACGGAGCTGCCGGATGATTTCGACCGGCCCGAAGAGATCACGGAGGTAACGGACGACGAGCGTGGCGACGTCTACGCCGCGTATATGGCTGCGCAGTCTTTGAGAGGTTTTTACACCGTGGTGGCGATGATCGGTGGTCAAGGTGGAGGATTCCCGCAGATGTCGAAGGGCCTGTCTGGAGGTGGAAAGGGCAAGCAGATGCCAAAATCACCGATGTCGCCGAGCTCATCGAACGCCAAGGCGCGTGGACGTGCCGCTACGGGAAGGCAGCTGTGCCTTCGATGTGGACAAGCAGGTCACTGGGCCCGGAACTGCCCAACTGGTGAGAAGCGGAAGCGACAAGAAGATGCAGACGACGTCGACATGGTAAACGAGACGGACATTGGTGAGGACAGCAAGACGGAGATCTATGCCTTGGACAAGGAGGACTCGGATGACGAAGATGTGGCTGTCCAGGACGGTGGTGCCGCATCGTTCCTTGGCTGTTGTCACACCTGAAGCGCTTAGGGCGCACCTCCTCCAGGTTCACACCGCGCCCCAGAAGGTACTTGACATACTTCTTGATCTGAAACCTCGACCCAGATGGAGGAGACCAAGTACATGGGCGGCGTCAAGCGAAAGGTGCTCATGTGCGTCATTGGTGGGACAGCCCCGATTGTGGTTGGCAGACCCGTGCTGAGAAGTTGCAAATCGCATCAAGATCTGAGATCTGATGAGACTGCGAAGAGAGCAGGCGAGAGGATCGTGGTGGTGGATGCCCGCGCGCTGTACGATGCGGCGAGGAGGCCGGCAATTCAGAGTGCTGTGAACAAGCGGGCGGCGATCGAGATCCTGTGCATCAAGGACGGCGGCGGCGACCGGGAGCAGTATGAGATGGGTGTCATCAGAGCGGCAGCTGGCTGATATCAGAACAAAGTTGAGTGCCCGTCAGGGCATGGTGGCTGGCGGTTGCGCCCTGATACGGTTGGCCTGAGATGACGAGTAGTTGCTCGTCCTGCGGTCCCGCCATGACACTCCTTCACGTGGTAGCACTCTCCGGCCTTCGTGATGACGGCCTCCTTCGGGAAGACCATCACATTCCTGCTCGTCTCAGCCAGCTCCAGGCGCCGCTGCAACCATCTGTTTTCGCCCCTCAGCTTCTCAATCACATTCTCTGGCACTGTCTGCGCCTCTCCACCTTTCACTTCTTTCTTCCTGCCCTTCATCTTGCAGCATGATCACCGTCATGGAAATCACGATGGTCAGAATCAGAGTGATCCCACCGCCGATGACCATCAGGTCCACCGCATCGTTGGCATCCACGCCCAGCCTCTCGTAACCAGCCACTGCGCTCCCGCGGACCTCTTTGTCTGTTCTCATCTCTCCTTTGCCGTCTTCTTCTTCTTCGCAGCAGTGAAAGTCTCACCTGGGTGAAGTGTTTGCCAAACACATGGATTGCCGCTGACAAGGCGGGCTCGAGGGTCAAAATAGCGGCTACGCCCCTTCGCACATGGTTGGACCTGTTGGACTTCGTGAGCTACAGGTCGAGGAGTTTTGACCAACTCTTGTTGGCTACCTTTAAACACCCACACCCAAACAGCACACAGAGACACAGACACACAGACACACAGACACAAGACACACAGACACAAGACACACAGACACAAGACACACAGACGCACACAGACACACAGAGACACAGACACAGACACACAGACACACAGACACACAGACACACAGACACACACACACACAGCACACGCACACACACACACACACGCACACACAAACACGCACACAAGACACACAAAACACACAACACATCGCACACACGCAAAACTCACGAAACGCAGAACTCGCAACACACGCACACACACACACACACAAAACACAAACCAGGCAAACCACACACAACTCCCAAACCACACAGAACACACACACACAAAGCACAAAACAGACCACACACACAACACGCACAGAAACACACAGAAACACACACACACAAACACCCGCTTCATTGATGTCTCTGGTTGTGAAATGTCCACCCGCCAGGTCTACCTAAATCTGGGGTCAACATTATGTGGTGTGATACTTTCTCAGGGTCTTTCGCTTCGTCTTTTTCCAAACCTGTGGTTTGCCCCCTTCAGCCCAAATGTTGACTGTTGTCTGTTCGAATGTTTTCTCCCATCTGACTGTTTTTTGTAACAAGCAGGGATGATTTCCCCATCTGTGTCTGGTCAGCCCAAATGGTTGGCCACTGTGTCGGCAGAGGTCGGTGGACAAGATCCTTACGGACCTGCCCTTCGGCCGCCAGTTTGGATCTGTGGAGGAGAACCAGAGGCTGTACCCAAGGGTTTTGGCGGAGATGCGGAGGGTGATCCGCCCGCAGGCAGGGAGTTTGGTTTTTGGGAAGGGGGAGCACAGGCGCGGACGGGGAAGATTCTCTAGACATGCGCTGGGATTGTGAGGATCCTCATGTGGACAGAGGTTTGATGAGAATTGTGTCGTGTTTAAGTTTAAGCTGTGGTGGTTTAAGGTCACCCGCGCACTAGGTCGGGACTTTTTTTATTCGCCCCCAATCAGAATCAAAGAGCTTGAAAGGGGCCTGCGCGGCGGAGTGCCCTTTGATTAGTTGGGCTGCCCCCCCTCTGGAAGCAAAGCCCAAACCGCTCTAAGCAATGGGTAATGTTTTACATTCTCCGCTTCGGTGTGCAAATGCCTGCCGACCCGTTCTTTCGAGGTCCAGAAGCACTTGCAACGATTGGAACAACAGTGTACTGACAACAAGTTGATATATTTTGAGGTGATTCCTACACGGAACTGACGAAACCATGGAAGCATGGTGGTCCACTTGCAACTCTCCCTAATTCGTGGCAGCTCTAGCAAATGGTTGCTAATGAGAACTTCCATTCTCAGGCAGAGTATGAAAACTGGAGGACGACCTCACCGAGGAAGGCTCCTTTTCTAGTCAGCCTTTTTGGGGTTGGTGAGTTCTTACAATTCATATCATATTATCCAGATGGAACAAGAGGAGAAAGTCACCTTCGGTAGATCTGGGGAGCCCCAGATGACACGAACATAACTGCGCAGGTCTGCACTTGCGACGGGGGCGGCCTCTTGTCCATTCAACCCCCCTAAAAACAATATGAGCCGCATATTCGGATATAATTCGAGCGACGTGTCCGTTGCAACCTTGGAATGTCTTTGCTTCTCCCCACTTGCAAGAAAATGCGGGGCCTGCGCGTTCCACTTTACTTGGCTTCCCTTGGCTCCCCTTGGCTTCCCTTGGCTTCACTGGCTAGCCAGTTGGCGAGTGATTGAGTCGAAACATGTGCGGGGGCCGTGGCGCCTGATTGGGTTCCATCTGTCTGGGCTAAGCAAGCCCAACCTGACATAAGTCTAACAAATCCAAACAACAGACTGTGGGGGTTCCAGCTTTTGGAGTCACTCACCGGGATCTGTTGGCATGTTGGATTGGGTCTTTTTTTTTGCCCGCTCCCTTGCTCGCTGGAGGGCCTGGCCGCGGTGCTGACGAGCTCCGCCAACAAGGACCACATGCGGGCGGCGGCCTCGTTGGCCGCCGGCTGGGCGGTGGAGCACCAGAGGCGGGGCTTGGTGGAAGGGCTTTCGCCGATGTCTGTGACCATAGGTGTGCTTTTTGGTTGTTTGGCTCGAAAAATCGACGGGTTTCGATTCCTGGTTGACCTGGTGGTTTTTGCTCATCATTCCCAGGGGAACCCATCTATTTCCCCCTAAAAGGACACCGATGTCTGTGACTTCAAGTGACGTGAGTCCTGGGGATGTCAAGGGCTTTGGTATCACGGGAAGGGTGACTTCGTAACAGCTATGTTGGGTGCAGGGTTTCGGGGGGTGGGGGGGAGGAATGCGGAAATGGTGTTGGCCTGCCACTTGCGGATTCTTGACAGCGACAGAGTCGCACATTTTCCGCAATGGGGAGACTTGTTAGGAAAAGAAATTAGCTCAAGGATACCCCTTTGTTTTCTTGCCCCCTGGCAGCGGCCACCATGGGTCAAGATGCCAACTCTGGGTTTAGGTCGGCCCTGGCTAGGGTTTCAGCTGGGGAGGCTTCGGGGCTGGAGGCATTCCTGGGGCTTGTGTTGAAGGCAGTCGTTGGTGAGCTGGATCCGCAAAAAGCGGAAAGCAGTTCTGACTTCCCAACTTTCTGATGCTGTTGACACCAACAAAGAGGCGAGGGTCTTTGTTTTCCAATGAGGAAAGGCAAAAGCTCGAGTGGTTGAGCGGGCTCCCACCACATCAGAGAGGGTCTGCGCAAACAGAATCTAAACCACCAGTTGATTGGCTGCATGAGGGTGTCCTTTTAGAGTTTGGTACCCTTTCTCAGGGTTGTTACAATGGGAAACCAAAAGGAAGCCATTGATTTTGGGGTTCCATATCCTATTTGGAGAAACCCAGGTTGTGAAAAATGATACATATATTGCTGGAGATTCAACCTAAGCCACAATGGTACATGTGTATTGTGTACGTGTGTGTGTGTGTCTCTGTGTGCGTGGGAGAGAATTCTTTACCGAGCTTTCCAGCCACATCTTGCCGGGGTCCAAGCTCTGCATGATGATCGTTCTACTTTCAGGCATAGCGCTGCATTTCGAGTCGCCTCCCTTGACTCGCGAGTCCTCCTTGACTCGCCAGGAGCTTCCGCCTCTTTGCCAAGACGGACGCCTGCATCTACCTCCTGCGCCCCGTCGGACCCGTCGGACCCGTGGGTGCCGGAGGCGCTCGGCCGGCCCCGCGAAAGGCCAAGGGCGGCGCCTTTGGCTGGGAGGACGGCAGCTCCTGGCACGCGCAGTGGGCGCGCGCCCGGCCGGCGCTGGTGCTCTTCGGGGAGAAAGAGACGACCGGCGGAAGGGAGGGTGGCAGGATGGGGTGGTGGTGGTGGTGGTGGTGGTGGTGGTGGTGGTGGTGGGGGTATTCATTTTTTACATAGAACCCGCTTTTTGGGTGGTTGAAACAATCACAATTTGGGTCAATTAAAACATGTGCTGCTCCTTGCTCCTTGGTGATGTTTTCAGGCTGGAGATAGGAGCCATAGAAGCCCTGTGGGCGCTTGGTGTGTTCTGGTTATTTCGCAAAGGACTTGCGGGACTAAGTTTCGTTGGGTTGCAAGGACACGCATGGATCCTGCTGGATCATCCAAATCATAAGGAGAGACAAACTCAGAAAGGTCGGATGAGAACCTTTTCATGAGAATTCCTTTGACTCGAAGGTTCCTTCATCTCCGTGGGTTGGGACCTCGAAGGCTCCTCGCTGAACCACCGGCTTGGAGTTTGGTTTGCGTGAAGCCCGGTTCTCCAGGAGGCGTCTTTGAGAAAGCCAAGGGGTTCGCGGGCAAAGGGGGGCTGTGCGATGCGTGTGCATCCGCCGGAAGGCGATCCCTTCGGGTTTTCATTGAAGTGTCTCATGGAGCAAGCAGGGCTTGCCATGTGGCGTTCAGGGTTGTAAGGCCTGATGGGTTGCTCAAGCTGGAACTTTTACATCGGATTTCTATGAAGGGAATTTCTCAGCTCCAGTTTGCCCTCCATGAAAAACATGGGTCTTCAACATTTCGTGTTTTTTCATCATTTTGCCCGTCATTTTTTCTTCCAATGAATGGCATAGGGATGTTTTCAGGTCCGCCACCTGCCATCCGCAGCATTTGGGCTCTGCAAGCTCGCCGAGCCGAGCCGGCAGGAGCCCGATGTTTGATCGCTCGGTGGATCTTCCACGAGGTGGGGGTCCTCATAAACCTGGAACCCCCAAAAACATCCACAGGAATCTCCTTGTTAACATGGACCCCCTTTTTGGGTTCCATGTTATCTGCGCAGGAGCACCCAGCGAGCATCTTTTGGACAGGCCTTTTTTTTGATGGAGTGGGCATTGGGAAGGCAGGTTTTGTTTCGACCCAAGAAGGAAGCTTGTCCTTAGCAGCCGCGTTGCTGGTGTTATTTTACTGGAGCCACGCTCAGTTCAGTGAGGACTAAGCGGCAACTGGCTATCAAGGTTTGGGAAGATCGCACACGGAAACCAAAAGGCAAGTGACCATTTGGAGGGGTCTTTGACTCGGACACACACACACGCACACAAATGAACAGAGCTCAGGTGGACCGAAGGAAGAATCTGCAAGCAGTACAGGTTGACGAAACATCACGCGCGGTTGTGCTACTCCGATGTGCCAGTATCTAGCATGCACTTCTTGCGGTCTGGCTTCCAAGGAAGGGCTATTGGGTTCCCTTCGGAGACAGACCAAAAAGGCCGCGCACCGCACGCTGCTCTGCGGTGTTTGGCTCAGTGACAAGAAAGGCCTCTCGCCCTGAGCGGCCCGAGCCGGGGGTACGCCATGTCTGTAGCTCTCCTGGTCGCCTTCCTCCAGCACCCCGACGGACGAGATTTCCCTATTGGCCACTGAAGCAGGTGGTTCTGCTTGGTTCCAATTTGATTAAAGCAAGGGCTACAACCTTTCCAGGCATCTTGGTAGAAGCCAAAGTCAACAGGTTTGGGCACTGCTCTCGTTTCTTTCTCTTCTTCTTTTTGTTTGGGGGGGCGGGGAGTGCCAAGGGGGCGATTCGGTCTGGAGCCACTGCGGCGAACGAGGGTGGGGGAAACCGCGGCTTTTCCATGCGCAAAGGCTACCTAGGTCCCTCAGTAGTGCCCTTCTCTCCCCTTTTTTTGGGGGAGGGTTCCCCTACTAAAATAGACAACAGAAACAGGGCACTCTAACCTCTCTACTGGAGGACCTAGGCGCCCCTTTTGCTCCGGTGAGGTTGCAGCTGGCGGCGGCGGCTGGCCCGGGTCTACGGGGCGCGAATGAGAGCGAGACCAGAGAGCACCTCTCCTTCATTCATTTGGCTGTGGTTGTCAAAACCGTTGTGGGATCCCATTTTGGTTGGTAGGTGAATGCACCACCCATTTTAGAACCTATTTTAGGGAGCATTGAATCGGATGTTCACTGGGGGTGCGATTTGGATTTTGACACATGGCCATTTGGCTGACAGCGATTTGGGGTATGTCAATCCTTACAGGAGATACTTCTGGGGGAATCCATATTTTTCAAAGCATACCAAACAAGCGGGTGTCTGGAGTAGAAGGGATATGAGGCTTGCCCCTCCAGGAAGGGGTCAAAAAGTGGGTAATCGACCATGGACCACCTGGATGGGTGAAGAGCGGAGGACATGGGAGAGAACTCATTATTTGGCATTTCATCTTCTCCCATACCCACCGGCCGCTTTATTAGGAATTGAAGATGTTGATGTCAGAGGCTATTCTTTCATATCCCTTTCCAGGCTACATTCTAAGAGACCATAAACGGATTTGCATTCAACATGAATTCCAGTGGGTTCAAAGGATGTTTGAAGCGGTTCCCAGCAACATTCGTAGCCGGAGCATTTTGGCCTGGGCTGTTGCAAGGGTCAGATTGTGGAGTTCTCGTGGGTGAGGCTTTGGTGTACGGCAGGGCTTGCCTTTTGACGCTTGACATCACGGGACTTTGTGTCCCATTTGGGGCGGTTTTCCTTTGGCTGCACTTCAAGCCAGCCCAAAAGGGGCAAACGCGAACGCGTAAGTCAGGACACATTTGGCTCATGGGCATCATTTTGCTTTTTTCTCAATTCTAAGGGGTCTCTAGACTTGCCATGTGAACCCCATCACAGCGCACCCACTTGTGTGATCACGTGTCGATACCCGCTGAGGGATCTCTGGCACCCCTGGTGCTCCGTATCAGCCCTGGGCTCGGTCGGCTGTGGGTCAGGGGGCAAAAGGGGGAGACTTGGGCGAGAGACCTCAACTCAGGCCAGCATTGGCAGATTTTGTCCAATTTTGGTTCGACCTTGAAACTGTCTTTCTTTTTGAGAACGGTTTTTTCATGATGAACTTGGCTCCTTGTAATTAGTGTTTCTTCATCCCCGGAGATTTGCCTTGCTTGTTTGGCTCTGCAGACGCGTGAGACCATGAGACCACGTGTTTTGGCTGAGACGCCAAGACGTGGGGGCCGGTGCCTGTGTTTTTCTCTATCGGTTTTGCATTGATATCTTAGAGAATCCCAGGAAGGTGTTTCCTTTCAAAAAACAACTGATTTCATACAAAGGGCTTCAGTTTCCTTTGTTTTGCCTTCAACGCAACCCTGAAGGGGCTTCCCAACTCCTAGCAGAGACACCCACCTTGTGTTTCTCCGCAAAAAATCGCACTCAGGTCTCCAAGCGAGTCCGCGCCCACGTGGATGAGGGCATCAAGGCGAGCTGAAACAGAATTCGCTTTTCCATGGTCAGACGAACCTATGGGCTCAAGGATGGCGGCTGTGGCGGCTCCGCTTCCTTTTTTGCCCGGTGTGGGCGATTTTCGAGCGTTGGCTACAAGCTATTCGGTGTCGTGCGGGCCATGGGCGTGTGGTCCGTGTGGTCCGGCGGCGTTCGCAGGGGGTCGGGTGTAAAACTGGTGGCTGGTCGGATTCTGATCGGGAGAGGTGGTTGCCGAAGTTGGCCGCTCGGCTGGTATCACAGAAGCGGCACGGCAAGTCCCAATCATTAAGCACCTTGGTTGAACACTTGAGTATGTGCTAAAATAGGGGATCCTTCGAAAGTGGCGGTTTCCCCTTTTGATGTTTCTGGACATTCACCTGCAAAGGGTGCCCTCAAAACAAGCTCTTTGACCCACCGGGTACCCAAGCAAGACCTTGCCCCAACACCTTCGCCCTGGTTTTTCCCGTTCGGGAGCGCCAGGATGTGCTGCCGAAGCTGCCAGCCAACTGCCCCTTTCACCCGCGGGCAGATTTGCTGAACTACAGCGGCTGCGGCTGAAATGGGGCGGGGGGGGGGAAAGGGGCGAACGTGCTGCTTGTAGTCCGCAAGTCTGATTCATTCGGAGTCACCATTCTAACAAGCTCACCCAACGCTTCAGGGATAGAAGGAATGACATCCTGCCACATTTTCAGGACTCCTCCATTTTGGCCAGGAATTATAGGAAAGTTGCTGGGTCTCTCGGTGGCAGGGACTAATGCGTATCATGTGACCGGTCTTTGTTTGGGCAATTGGTGGTGGTGCCTCTTGAGGGTACCCGTTTCAGGTGCGCTTAATTGGAACAAGAATACATTTGTGTTGGGGTCGCCGATTCTGACACCTACCCACTTTGCTTTCTGCGTTCAGACTATTTCCCATCTGAGTTGAACGTGAAGCTTGTGCACTAGTCTTTTTGTTGTTGTCTTCTTTTCTTCTCGCGTTCTACCCGTAGTCCGACGGCAGCTTCTTTTGCAGTGCTTGTTCTCCAAAGGGCCTGCGCATTGGTTGTTTTGTGTTTTTTCTTCAATTGTCCATGTCACTGAATTTCAAGTTCATTTTCAAGCGAACTAGAATGTGCACACATGTGAGTTTGATCATTGACACACATGTTCTCTTCCTCATTTCGCCCATCAATTCCACTTCTAGTCTTTCTGTAGTCCCAAGTCAGCACAGCCAGAAGAAACGTCAAAGCGGCTGATCATTGTTGAATAGGACGCTCACATTCCAAGGCCAGGTCAGAATTTCAAGACCAGGCTTCAGCATGATCATTCTATATTAACCGTGGTACGAAGACTACGGGAAGACTACGAAGACTGCTGACAGACAAGTGGAAGACTACAAAAAAACTGCGGACAGAACGTGGGAAGACTATGGGAAGACTACAGGAAGACTCTGGGACAGTTTTCCTGCAGCCTTCTTCCTGTAGTCTTTCCGTAGCCTTGCGGCCACGCTCTGCTGGAAAGACGGGCTCCGAAATTTTCTTCTCCGAGGCAAGGGAGGTAGCTCCAGTGGCCATGTGTGTATGGCGAGCTTCTGCGAGATGTTCGGAGTGGCCCGGCAAGGTCTGGGAGCTTCTCATGTTTGGATTCAAGCAGAACCCTCAGGCTATGTTTTGGGGGGTGTTGCTTCCAAAACTGACCCGGACCGCATCTAAAATGGACACCTACCCGATAAAACATGTGTTGAAGGTCTTCCAGTTGTTACCCTTTGAAACTTGCTATTTCAACTGTGGTCTAAATCATGTGACCACGCTTAAAGGCCTGCGTTTCTTGGGGGACACGGCAAATGAGCTGGGACCGGGAACATAGATACCTCTATCCGGGGGTGGTTTGGGGGCGGAAATCCTCTTAGAGTATTGGGTTTTGGATGCAAGCTTGTGGTTTAATCTTGACCCATGCCCACATCTTGAATCACGAGACCTTGGTGCACAGACCTTGGAGCCTAGAGGAGTTGGCCCGAACACCAGGTACAGTTTGGGCGGCTGGGCCCTGGTTTCCTTGCGGTTCCCTTTGCGTGGGTCAACGTTTGGAAACATCTTACACCGCCGCCCTTGACTAAAATGATGGATAGGTCCTAGGGTTGAGGATCGACCAATTTGCAAGGATACCAGAGGCTGGTTGTTTTACTAAACAACCATTGGAAAAGCTCTTCAGGGCTCTTTCCGACCAGAGGCTGGCAGTAACACATTTTGCAAGCAACTTCTTTGGAGGGTATCCTTTTCGGGCTTGCTTTAGAGGAGACCCAAGAAGCAACGCATTGTTTTTGTGGTTCCCCCCATGCTGAGCCAAAACCCATATTTCCGCTTTGGGCCATGTGGCGTGTCTTCTTTTCGGGGACCCCCACCATTCTTTTAGGGGTGATGGGGTTGTCCTTTTCTTTCTTCATTTAAAGCCAGCTAGAACCACGGCTGGCCCGAAAACCTCATGCATCTCATTTAAAGAGCCAGAACATCGCCGCGGGCTCTCTCCAACATCTTCAGTGCCCACAGGGCCCCAAGAAAGGTGAAGCAGCTGAGTGACGGCGGCCTCCGCGGTCATGCCGTGCGCCGCAAGGAGCCACGCGCGCAGCAGAGCCGAGCTTGGATTGATTGCAAACCAGGAGACAAACTTTCCCGCCCGCGTTGCGACCAAAAAGAAGCATTTTACTAGCATTTCGTGCGATCGATCGACCACACCAATCCCCGCAGAGGGCCGCGCGCACAAAGCAGAAATCGTAACACGTCCTCAGATTTTGCACATTGACCACGCCAATCTCGCAGAGGGTCGCGCGCGAACCGCAGACATTGACGACCATGCTAATCCCCGCGTCTCGGCTTGTGCAAGTTTGGCTGCTCGAGGTTTCTCGTGCAAGTTGGCGCGTGCAAGTTTGGCTGTGCGATAAGGCTTGTGATTTGACTGGAAGAACCCTTGGCAATGTCTTTGGGAAGAAGCGTTTGGGCCAAATGCATTTGCGGGTTTTGGCCCCAGGTGTGTGAGGAGCCCTCCGAGATCTGCGTGGACGCACAGATGGCGGAGCAGAAGACGCTCGTTTAAGTATCAGGGTCCCCTTGAAGGATACTAGGGGCCAGTCAAAAATCGCCCTTGCCAGTGGATGTAGAAGACACCCTTGTGAAATGGTGGCTCTGGATGCACCCTCCCTTGTTTGTGTAGGCTCGTCAAAGAGTTCCAAAAAGAGGGCTTATCTTGAGCCTACAACACGAGGGGTTTTGGGTTCCCATGATAAGTTGTTTCGATATTACTTTTTTGCCTTCACGATTTTAGTTGGTCTGGGGGCGATGTCCGAAGGGGACATAGTATGAGCATGGGGGAACCCAGTCAAATTCCCCGCAACCAGGAGACTCAATGAATTTCCTATGTCAGCTTGGGGAACTTGCAATGTTGCGCATAGCTTCCATTGGCAAAAGCCGTGGGTTGGTTTGCCCATGGTGCCCTTAACCACTTGCTATCCTGTCAACCGTTTGATGACAATGTGACCATGGCGCCATTTCGTAGAAGAACACTACGGGCCGAAATCAGAACCTGGGTAGTTGGGGGGGTCCAACAAATCAGAGGGAACATTCTGTTGGGCCTTTCAACCGAAAACAGGAGAACCCATTTCGAAGGGGCCCAACTATTGTGTGTGTCTCATATAAACATATGAATTGGGCCCCAAGAGGAACGATTGTTACCTGGGTTTGCCCTTCAAATGAAGCCCCCAAAAAATAGTTTGCGTTTTCTCCCAACCCGACGAAAACGGGTTTCACTACTCGATGAGTGTGATTTGGGAGGGTAGGTGTTGGCGCCCTTTCTTCTGGACCTTCGGCGTTGCTTCGAGATGCTCTGAGCCTTCAGGGGATGATCAACCCCCAAAAACCCATCCTTGGCCCGTTCAGCGGGTCTTTGGAGTAAGCCTGAAATGGCGTGATGTGGGGAAACGATAAGGAGGCTGTTGAAGCAAACCTGTTTAAAGAAGGGGATCACCAGGCGACGCTGTGAGGGTGCAGTGCTCCGGTGCTTCCCCCCGGGGGACGTGGACATGTCCATCCGCCAAAAGCACTCCCAGTTCACGCGGCGATGCAAGGAGAACTCGCGCCCGCAAAGCGGGGGGTGGGGTTGGGGGGAGTATCAGGCAACGAGGGAGTTCTTTTTTTTTTTTAAAAGCAGCAATTCAATCTCGTGGCTTTAAACCTCACCGTTTAGGCCAATTCTAAAGAGTTTCCTTTTGGTGGGGTGAGCCTGGAAACTGCTAGACAAGCACATGGCTGTGAAACTTGATGAGGGGACCCCAAAAACATTGGTGAGCTGGCTGGATTGGGGATGAGCCCTTTAGATGTGTTTTTGGCTTTGTGGGACTGTGGTATAAGCAGGTTTCTATCCAAAAGGCAAAAGGGTGGTTTCATTCTGCTCTTACTACAGTGCCCAAAGAGGTCCCCAGTTTTGACACATGGCAATGCGTGTGTCTGTGTATGCCCTGAGTGATAAATCTGGCCGAACAATCAGGATCCCTTGCCACTCGCAAGCCCTACTGCCCGATGAATCGACAGGTATCTCTTTTTTGCGAACGTTTGCGAGGATCTCCCCCACCCACACACACACACACACAACCGAGCCACCGTTTCTGGAGGTTACAGTTTCCAGCAACACATCCATTTTCTTTCATATTCCATGAGTCAAACCCTACTCTTTATTTGTTGCGGAGACGCAACTCACTTTTTTTGGGCCCTTTTGCCAAAGACTCACTCCCCTAAGTTTATAGATTATGCTTTTGGTGGCAAACCATCAATTTTCAGACTCTTTTTTGCCAGTCCACTCCAGCTTCACCTTTTGTTCAGGAGCCCCCATCTTCATTGCGGAGACGTCCTTGGCCCTCTAACCCCCAGAAGGGTGTCCCCCCTTGGTGGTTTGCGTCCAGCTTTTCCGCGTTCAGGAGCTGGACTGCCAGGTGCGGGCCCACCGGGCCAGCGAGGAGCGGGCGGGCCTGACGTCCATCTCCCCGCTGCTGGCGCTGGTGGCGTCCTCGTGCCTGGCCGCCTTCGCGGCCATGCTGCTGCTGGTGGGCCGCTGGGCTTAAAAGAAACCGGACGAGGGGAGATACCAGTCTAGGGTCGATTCCAACCATTCTTTGGGTCATGCTCTGAGTCATCTCGTACTTCCAGTTGGTTACTTGCAATCATTCATGCTGATGCTGTCAACTTGCTACAATGAGGTGATACTGTGGGTGGACAAAATCCGTTCGCACCACTTTCAAAACCATGGTTGAAACTATTGTTCATTGGTATTTGCGGGAATCATCATTCCAGGGTTTCTTAGGTGGTGCAGGATTTCGTCCATCCACAGTACCAGTTAATAGATGGTTTACCCTGGTAGTTGGTAGGATTTCAATGGTATTCATCCATCCTAGCTGGTACAGGGGTTGTGTTTCAAAGGTGTGTTTTGTTCACGTGTTGTTTCTTCATATGTCAAAACGGCCGAACGGCCGTTTGGCTCAAGTTTTTACCTCCCGTCAAGTGGGAATAGGACTCACGCTCGTGCGCCATTCACTGGCAGCTTTCTTCGTCCTCGAGCCGAAAAGGGTCGGGGCCGCGGGCGGCTGGGTGTAGGAGGTGCTCGGGGAGTCGCGCTGTTCTACTTGGGCTTGGTATTGAACTTAATCCTCTTCAACTTGATTTCTAACCTCCCCATACTTCTCCATTGTCAACCGTCACTTCCTCAACCCGGTCATCATCCACAGCTTCACCCGAGTTGTGTTTCCGGGTGCTTTGGGTACATCGTGATCTACTTTGTGCTCATTTGCTTCCCTGGGCTACTTCGTGTTCGCCCAAAACCGCAGGTTATCAGCCGTACCAGCTAGAAGCTGGGGCTGGTGATCCGGTTGCGGGACGTGACCCGCTACCTGCTCCCATCGCCTACTTGTACGAGCAATGGCGTCCCCCGGAGCTTCTCATCGTGGGCCGGGCTTCGTGGACGACGAGGCCAACGCCCTTCGCGGCAACGCCGCGCCTGCTGCCCCGGCTTAGACAGCCGGCTGTGGCCCATTCCCCCGATGGTGGGCGCAGAGCCCAATCCCGGGGTGATCACGGACGATTGGATCCTTTCTCAGGTTGTGTTTGATGAGGATGCGGAGGCCCCTATCCCGGCGGCAGTGCTCCAGATCGAGGACGGACCCCCTCTAGAAGAGGCTGAGGTTCCTCCAAATCAGGTGCCCTCATCGATTTCGCCTACTGTTCCGTTCGTGGCGCTCCAGATCGAGGACCGGGCTGTCCATCATGCTGCTCATCCGGAGCCGGCTCAATCATGGTCCCTTACATGGGATCAGTTTGACCAACTCCTCGGCAGTGGATCGCAGGCTACACCGCCTGATTTCGGTCGGCTCGACTTTAACTCGGGTGCCCCCGTTTCGGTTGGGAATCTGGATTTTCAATCCCTTTTTGATGCTGATTGGAGGTCTCAGCCTTCCCGAATTGACAGATCCTTTGATGCCCTGCCGTCGCATGAGCCTACTCAGGGTTTTCCTCATGATGGAGAAAATGACCCCGTTGAAGATTTCTCCCCTTCTCATGTTGCAGGTTCGGCCCAACCCGAGGTGGGCAAACGGGCGATTGAGGATTGGCCGCAAATAGCTGGCCCTCCTCCCGTCTCAGGTTCATCCGACATTGACATCATTCACGATCACCCCAGTCCGGCGGATATGGACTTCATCCCTGATGCAGTATCATCTCACCTGTCAGGTACCCGCGACCGGAATGCGGACCGCTACAACGCTGGTCCGAATCCACCGCTTTCCTCAGGTACCCGAGGTCGGGATGCGAACCGCTACAACGCGGGCTCAAATCCGCCAAATCGGACATCAGGTACTAGTCGATCGGATGCGGGCCGCGAAACAGCAGGCCCAAATCCTTCCTTCTCTTCGTCAAGAAGCCATGCCGGTCTCTTCGCGGCGTTCAATCGGCGTCAGACTCGAAAAGAGTCCGCCCCCGACGTCATCGACCTCGAGGAGCAGTCCAGCCACCGTACCAGTGATGGATCCGAGCAGGATACACCTGGTATTGGCTCTACTCCATTTGACCTCCTCGACATCCCCTTCCATCAGCCACCCAGGAGAGGAAATGAAGATGATGAAACCATTCCTGGAATCCTTGATGTAATCGATGAGGCCGAGGTCACACCAGAGAGACGAACTACATCGCTCCCGCCGAGCCGCGTTGCCAAAGTACTTTCCCCTAAGCCACTCAATGGTGACGTTGCTCAACGGCTTGATCTCACTCAACCTAATTCAGATCAAGCTCAACTTCGCGGATCATCATCATTTGATAATGTGTCGGGACAAACCGGCACTGACTCACGAGCCACAAAGAGGAGCTCTGAGTCACCCGAGAGACGTGAAGCTGCTCTACGACTGCGATCTAATCCCCCAGCTCATCACGATCCTATTGACGTTCCTATACACTCTGCGGGGTCTGGGCTCAGCTCCAACGCCCCGATGTCTGAGAAGGAGACTGATGACGGGATTAACTCTACGCCTAGGAATCGGAGACCTGGTCTTAGCACTATTGCCCCTGGATATGGAGGGCTTCCTTCGAATCAACCGGTCAACGACTCCGTTGTCCCCGCATTCTTTCAAATCGGAACTCCGGGCTGCACTCCCGACAGGGAAGAGAATAGCCGCGGAGATCATGACGCTGATAGTCGTCCTGCTCCGTCTGCTTCCACAAGTGACGGCCATCCTGTTGCATCTGAGCTTCAACGACTGCTTCTCGCGATCCATAACGAGGTCAAGGGGTGCAAGGCCGAAATCCAGGGATGCAGAGCTGAGATTCGTTCATGTAGGGATGATATCAACGCTTGCGTCGGTGAGATCAAGAAGATCAATAACCGTGTTGACGCCTTCGAGAAGAAAGTTGAATCATCCTTCTCTGCTGTTGCCGGAACTCTCTCAAAACACGAGGCTAAGTTCCGTGATTTCCACGAGTGGGTTGCCCGAAGCGAGAAGGAGATGAATGAGCGTTTCAAGATGTATGATGAGAGATCTAACTCGATCGTCATATCCGCTGCTGAACTTCGCGAGCAGGCCGAATCACTTGAGAACGCCAAGGCCCAGCTTCTTAGGTTTTCTGAGATCGGGGCCCTTGAGGCTGAGGTTCGGAAAATCAAAGACGAAGTTGAGGCGAACTCTCGCAGTGTCATCGACATTGAGGGAACCATCTCAAGAGAAAGAACCATCCGTGGGAACGTCGAGACGTATATCCAGCATCTCGTTCCTGCGACCGACCTGAAGCAGTTCAATAATAAGGTATCCGGAGCCCTCAATGAGAACTCACAGAAACAGGAAGAATTCAAGCTTCAATTGTCCCGCATTGCTAGATGTGTCAAGGACCTTCATGACAAAAGCTTAGGCCCCAACCCGAGGGACATGCAAGAGCAGTTTATGAAGCTTGTGCTGAGGGTCAATGAGATCAACATGCAGGTCGCTGAATTGAGGGAGCAACCTCTTGCTGCCTGCGGATCCTCAAGTGCTGGCGCTGGTTCGACCGCCGGAACGGGATCATGGGAGAAATCTGGAGACACAGATCCCTTAACCCAGGGAAGGGCTCCTAGAGGTTCTCCTCCTCGTGATGCTCGCACCGTCAGCTCGGCGAGGCCTCCTCCACCTCCACCTCCACCTCCTTCGGGGCCACCCCCACCATCACCATCAGCCCCCATCTTCGGCAGGGATCCCTCTAGAGCGAGGGCCATTGCTCGGGCTGCCGGCGCTGCCCCTGATAACCGGGCCAGGTGTGCTCATGAGGAGCCAGGGCATCCACAGCATCGGGAACCTCGCTATCCATGCCGAAGCTGCGGCAAGTCAGTCTGCGAAGACTGCTTTGACCATGACTGTAACTCATGTTTCAAGTGCAGCGATCAGTTTCCTAGATGCCGCGCATGCAGAGGAAGAGGGGGGAGACACGGACTTGTGAGGTGTCTCATATGCAAGGACGAGTACTGCGATCAACACATCGCTTCGCCTGACGATGTACGTCGTTTTGGGTCGAGTGTTCGACCTATTTGCCTCGGTTGTCTGAGAGCTGATCCCGACGGGAAAACTAAGCATCGCGGCCCCAGTGCGGGGCCTGGAGGACCTGATTGCATTCCTGATCATAATCAGCGGGATGGCACTGCTCCTGATCCTGGATCCGGGCCATCACGTGGAGATCCGTCACATCGGAGTCCTGAACCGCACCAAGGGAATTCTGGTTTCTGTTCCAACGTCGGAGCTGCCGGGCCAATGCCACCAAGGGCAATGTCTTCGCCCGTAGTCGGACGAGCAGTTCCGAGGGGGACCATCAACACATATCCTGGGTGTTCCCCTACGGGGGGGGTTTTCACCGGTCAGGTCGAGCATGGAACATCTCAGGGAATCATTCGCGGGAGATATGGATCTGACGCTGCTGTGACAAATCAGCAGAATTCACAGCATCACCAGGGAGCACAGAATAACTCTGGCGGTTCGAATGGCTTCTCTCTTCCACCAGGACTCGATAAGGGTGTGCATGGCGCCAGTGGTGTCGGCGGTATTGGAGCTCCCGATCTCCGCCGATCCTCCGCTGAGGAGAGGGTCTGCCCTCGATGCAACATCAATGTCAAGACCAGCATTCCCGGGACGCCCCCATGCTTCCAAACATGTTCGTTGTGCCGCACTTCATTATGTGCCGCGTGCTGCCCGCCATCATCCGGGAGTTGCTCTCTATGTGCCATATCCATTGGCCGAGATGGCGTTTTACCTCCTCACGTTTTTGGACAGGCTACTCGACCACCCTTAACCTCGTTGCCGTCCGAGGCGAACAAGTGCGCTAACATTGAGCTCGAAAAAGAGCCTGCACCGCATGAGTTGCGAGACTGGATCATTTCCACGAGAGAAATTGTGAGCAACGCATTCAGCTATGACTCGCCATATGCCATGTCTTGGGTCATGAGTGTCGAGAACGCCAGCGCAATAGAGGAACTTGATGAGGAGTGCCTCTACCCGATCCTTGACAATAGGTTCAATGCTGCGCTGAGAAAGTGCATCACATCGAAACCAATAGTTGCCAAGAT